CCGCTGCGCGCACCAACGGCTGTGTACAATGCCTGCATTAATAATGCGATCGCTGCGCGAAACAACGCTCGGACGACAGTTGCCATTTTCGCGGGAATCGAGCGCGCCGCTGAAGCCGTGAAATTAATTCATTCCGATGCCGCGTAGAGAGTGGCGATTATCGCAATCATTCATTTCCCCTCTGCGACACCGCTCTCTCGTCCGATATCGGATGAGGTAAACTAATTATGCAAGAAAATCGGACTAGTACCCTCGTTACGGTTAATTCCATCTTTGTGGCGCAAGAAATCTGTCGTGATTAATGAACAAGCTTACCGTTAATTAGTATTACTGCGATAACGCTTTAATGAACAAGGTTACCGCTACACGTAGCGACGAAGGCCGGCACACAATTCCGCTTTCCGCGTGCTCGCGTCATGGGAAAAGCGTAACGCTCGGCCCGAGATCGGCGTCAAAGGCACCGATCGTGGCGATAGCTCAATCATCCCGCGATCACTCTTCGATTTGACTTAATCGTCCCGGCGAAAAGTTGCCGCGTTTACCAAGTTCGCCCGACGTCGTCCATATTTCACGGAGCAATCTAGACGTAATGATCCGCGGGCGGAAATAGCAAACACAGCTGACGATAACGAACGCGTCGACCGACAACTGACGATCTCTATTGCGCGATATTAATTTTTCGAAGCATCGCCACGGATCGCGCCGTAAATTTAATCCCACGCGTTTCCCTCGCGAAAACAAAGTTTTTATTATACATTCAGGAAGACACTCTTGCCAACGTACAATTTTTATCCGCGATGCGCGCGTATACGTCTTGTTTTATGTCAACTTTCGTTGCCGGCTTTTCTCTCCGCCTCGCCCGCGCGCTCACCTCGCTCGCTCAATACCGGTCGTAAAGTGAAGTCGTCTCGAAACGCGATTCCCAACTAAGCGAGATGAAAATGCGGACCCGCGTGTGCAGGTATGTGCGTGACGAATCGCCCGCTCGCGCCACGTATGCGTGACACGGTGATCTAATTTCCATGTATGTCGAAGCCAGACACACACACACGCGCGCGCGGCTTATCGCCGATACGATTTCGCGCTTCGCGCGCATCGCTCTCTTTGTCCCTTTCGCCTCGCTCGCTTTACTCTCGCCCGCTCGATTCTTTTCTTCTCGCGATCGCGGTTTTTCACACTTCTGCCTGTATCGACAGCCCTTGATCGATCGGCCGATCGGTCGTGACTTATGTTCCGCCCCTTCCGCGGGATCGCGCATGCAAATACGCGAGAGCTGCGACGGTGATCGCCACGCTTCGGTTACGTTCGATTGAGTACCGCAATAAATTCGGTGAGGAAAACGCGGCTCTTCTGATCGTTATCGCGATGGCACCGATAACAGATGCGACCGTGCCGCGGCGAGGAGAGAGAAAGAGAGAGAGAGAGAGAGAGGGAGCTCTCGTGAAAAGCGCCAGTTTCCGACTGCATGAGTTTTTATTTGCAAGTGAAATGCGCGCGACGCAAAACTCGCGTAGGGATTTCGGCGATTTCGTATTTTTCAGTAGAGCAACCCTTTCGATGTCCGGCGCTTTTGTTAACACAACACGCCGGAACGCGCGTTCCAAACAAAAAAGAGGCAAATGCGCGTGTCTTCTGACTTTTGTCCTTTCTCGTCAGTCGCAGAAGAAATCTACAAATATTTCGGAAAAACAAACCTATTTCCAAAGCCCATATTTGACGCGAAAAGTCTGGAAAAGTGTTGACTGCGTATCGCAATCTTGCAAAACGCCGACACGGTAACCCGCGAATGACACACCAGTCCGCGATTTTGTTCTCGATTCGCCGTGGGAATCGCGAGTGAATAATTGCCACGACGAATTGCGCGGCGGACACGTTCCGATTACGCGAGCGTTTTAATGCGCGCTGATCGGCCGTGATAAGGACACGCCGGGATACACGCGCGCGTTTTACACACAAGTTCGCAGGCTGGGAAATAAGTATTATTGCCACACCGCTCTTTTTTTTTTCTTCGCCCCTGCCGTCTTATTTTTATCCGGCGATTTCTCGCGTGCGCGCCGCGGCGCGCAGCGCCGGGAAACGCGGACTCGCGTTTTCTCCCATAATTGCCGGCGGTTTGGACCGACAATTCAGGATACACCGCGATCGATCTCTCTCTCTCTTTCGTACGGCTTCCTCTTTTTTTTTTCCTCTCAGGCTAACTCCACGCCGCCGTTCGGCGGTATCTGTTCGCGGAATAGAATTTTCCTGCGATTTAATTGTAACGAGTTACGAAACGGCGCCGGCTCACTCGAAGGCGTTTCGCGCGGCGAAACAACCGCCGAGAGATTTACGAGCGCGAAACGGCGGCTGTGCAAAGACCGCCCGCTCGATTTCAACCTCTCGCGGAATCGAAACCGAGAGCCGCAATTAATGGACTTGCGCGACGCACGCGATCGCCGTGTTTGTTACGCTCGCTCGCCCATCACTTTTGATAGGATTACACGTGAAATATTTGTCAGGCGAGAAAACCGTGTCACAGCGAATCTTTATTACAAATATTTTTCTGGCAGGACACCGTTCACACGTGTTCAGGAGCGATAACGAAATTCGAAGGCAACAGGTATAATCGAATTTCTAAAGGAAGTTAACGAATTGCCGTTTTTTTTTTTTTCTACCAAAATCACATCTGCGAAGATGTTGTTTTCCATGTTGCAAATTTTATTCGTTTTCATATCGCTGTCGTTACGCTTGTCTGCGCAAATTTGTGCGCAAAATATTCCGCATTTTTATTCTGCAATCGAAACTTCGCCGCAAAACTACATATTTATGTGCATTCTGTAAAAACTTTTCGTCTTGTCGCGACAGAACAAATCGGATCTGCATCGCGTTTCACGCGGAAATACTTTCCACGGGAAACTTTCCTCGTGTTACCGCTTGAATGTTTCACACACGCGCGTCTGGATCATCGGCAGGATATCCGTTTTTCTCATAGCGCGTCCCACGAGAGGCGCGGCCGGCGAAGAAACAACGAAAGAAAGTACGACGAGCCGCGAATGGCCGGCGATCACGAATCCGGTTTCTGTCTTTTCCGTATGTAGACTGCATTATTCGCGCTTAGGCATGTCCACATTTGTACCCAGTCGCCTGTGTAACGCAAGAAATTGCTTCCTAGTCGTCGAGATAATGATCTTCACCCGGGAGTTCAACGTTCCTCGCATAACGATCGCTTTTACGCGCGCACCTTTGACACCGTACGCACATTTCCGCTGATACTTTCAATCTTTTTTTTTTTTTTTTTTTAATTAGATAACCACATTTTCAACGCTTATCGCTTACTCTGATTTTGTAAAAGAATTTTCGATTGTGTTGGAATTCAAGGAACTCTGAGTCATCTGTGAGATAAAATTTGTACACAGGTGCGCTCGACGGGGGAATGTTTTATCATCCGGCGGGTCCTTGAAAGGCATAAAATTCCTTTTAACGTGGCCTCGTATTTTATAACTTAAAAGTTTCATCAATCGCTTTAGCATTTTACAGCCAAACTTTATATGGTCGGACAAATATTGAAAAAAAAAAAATATATCAAAATTCAGCAAAATTTCGAAAAAAAAATATTATTATGTACAAGCATTGCGCCTTTCAAGTTTCCTCGATCGCAAGCCAACAGCCCGAGCATGTTGAAAACATGTTATGTCGTCAATAATTATTTCAGAGGATCGATAATGTTTTTCTCGCGCGAAATTTTTCCGTCGATCGTGGCGCGAAGGATGAAAGAAACGCGGGGTTTTCGTCGGTGCATCTACGATGTGTGCATCCATCTTCACGGGCGCCCGCGCGCAATGGCGGTCATTAGTTCTCCGTTAAAGCACGCTTCGTTATCCTCGTTAGCGGAAAGTACGCGCGCGAATGCAGATTTCGCGTCTCTAACGAGCTCAACGGACCGGATGCCTTCGATTTCGCGATTCTCCGGCTCCTGCGCGCATTACAAGCGGGTGGAACTAATTCGGAGGGCAGAGCCCCCGCACGCCGCCAGGTGCTCCGGCGAAGTGTGCCGCCGAAAATGTTCGCGTCGATAAAGCATCGAGTTGGAAACCGGAAAGGTGAATGAACGTAATTCGACGCTGCCATTGTTAACTAAGATGGATCGGGCCGCGATATCGAGCAAGCCGAACGTATCCGATATTCAAGGTTTCAATTTGCGCCCGTGCTACGTGCGCGCTGCTCGCTTCCCGTCAGATTTCTTTCGCAACGTCAACGGATGTCCTGTGTAATTCACACGAAAACCGTTTTACGTCTAACATAAACTCGGAGCTTAGCCGCGGATGGGTTTCACGGAAACGATTGCGCTGCGCTCATTTTCGAAACTCGTCTCTTCCGCCTGCCGCGACACGCGACATGTCATTTCCTTCGTGCTTTAAACGCGTCTCGACGCACGCAAATAATGGACAACGCGTACAATTAAAACCCATTGTCTCTATTAAGAATATTATGTCATCGGTGGGACAGTTGACTTGTCAAGGTTCTCTAATGCCTTCTAATTAACAAAGTTTATTTGGTTTATAACAATAATTTATCAGATGCAATGGCAATTAGAATAATTAGGAGACTCAATTATAATGTCTAATAAAGTGTAAACATACGTACTGTGCGTAAATATGTCATTTAAAGCGATAGTAATGAGCGTTTTAATTAACACATGACTTATATATTAATAGCAATTATGCATATTACATCTGAAAATAGCTAATTAGAAATGTGCAATAAATATATAACTAGTGCACCAACAGGTATTTACTTTTCTTACAATTTCTTTTTTAATAATAATGAAATAACCTACTTAAAAATGCAATAAAAATTTTCACGATTTAAATTTACTCGCAAAGAGTTTAAAGAATTTAACATAGAAATTTGCTTAATTAAGCAAATAATTAATCAATTACAAGCTTGCTTATTGTCAGTCAATATTGACAGTAAAATCGTGTCAGAAGATAAAAGTAAAAACTTTAGATTAATATACTCACAGTTGAGACGACGATTTCACGATGCTCTTTCAAGTCTTTCTGTCTTGAAATTCAGTGTCCGTCTATGAGATTTCTCAGGCTCGATCGTGGCACATGATAAATCGCACTTCCCAATGGTGAATGCACCCTTAATACACCCCTTTGCGCGGGACAGGCACCTTATCGCAACTTTTGCTCCCGGTTTGCGCGCACCGCTCGGAAACCTCGCGCGGAACGTGTTATACGGAGCTGAAAATCGCGCGTGGCGGAAGGAACACTTCTCAGGCAGGTGTATTTCTCTCCTTTCTCTCTCTCTCTCTGGCGAGGCGGAGAACGACGGCGGATGAACGAACCGTCGTTCGCGAAGGGTGGCGGTCGACTGAGGCGCCTCGTCGCTCACTCACTCCGGTGCGCCTCCCGCGCTCGCGGCTGCAAGCCGATCGCCGTGCGGCGAACACACGCGTGCCTGCGTGGCCGCGTTGCAACGTATGCGTGTGGTGTGGGAGACTTGATGCGCGCAAGATGCATCCGATGCACTTGCTCGCCTCGACTGCGCCCCGCCGGACCTCACGGCTGGTGCTTTTCGCGAATTTCGAGCCGCCTTTGCGAACATCTCGCATGTAAATTACGCTTGGGACTTTAACGGCAGCACACACGCCTCGTGTAAATCCGTCCGCGATTAATTATTCGCTCCCGCGGCGAGATAGAAATTCGCGGGTCCGCGGGAACACGTGAGCTCCAATACCGTATATCGAATTGCGGCGTGATCGCGTAATCGATATCAGCGAATAGAATATGTAAATCGCGCGGAGTACTTTATATGATAATACGTCGGTTTCGCCGTGACAACCAATAGAATTCTCGATTTACACGCATTATCTTACTTTTACGCGGGCACTCTATATGGGCATATATTATGTCAGACGGTTTGACCTGCTGTTTTTAGTCTCGAATGTTCCATCAGCTTTGCTGATGATCAAGGATTTCGTACGAAAATGCGCAGCATTTTGTCCAACAAATTTTACATAACTTTACTCAAAGAGATTTGTCTTTGTTTTTTCGTCCACCCGCGCGTAGCGCGCGGTGAAAGAGTATTTTTACGAATATTATTCCGACGGTCGTTTGTGTGTTACGTTTGTATCTTTAGCAGTTGTACTATGCATTTTGAAATCGGGGTCAATGTGTCCGCGTCATGACTGTGCGAAATGCGGAGCCGAGCGCAAGTAACTGGCGAAACACGCGTTGCAATCTTTAGAAAACGCGACTTGTCGCGAGGTACTCGTTTTACAAAAACATGCGCGCGCGCGCGCACACACACATACAAGCAAATAGTTTTATGTCTAATTTATTCTCTCGCATGTGTCCGAAAGATCTTTAGACAAAGGAATATTTTCAAAGCGATTTGATGGCTCCCGCCGAGTGAATTTCATTACGAACAAGCTCCGAGAACACCTTCTGTCTCGTTTCTTCCGGAACGCTCACAGCGGAACAACCGTGGAATGGAGCTAATGGAAGCTGTTTTGGCGGCAACCCTTGCTATTAAACAAAACGAAGAGAGAGAGAGAGAGAGAGAGAGAGAGAACGGAGGGCGTTTTGTAAAACGATAGAAGCACACGCGCGTATGTGTGTGTGTGCGCGCGACTGCTTTTTATGTTTATGTGTACGGAGTGACCCATGGGAGTCACGTATTTTTTTGTGAGCACAAGCCTGAAGCTAGCAATAAGAAAAACAGGAAATGTTTTCATCTTGATGCATAAATATTTTCTTTAGCCTGCAAACGTCGAATAAACGAATTTTAAAATGTTTCTTGTATTAAACTCAGTTTGGGCGTTCTATAATTCGCAATGAAAATTGAGGTGGAAATTCTGTTTCTAAGTTTGTGTTTTGTAAAAAGCAGAAGACAGTTGGAAAATCGGAAATATTTATAAAATAAGCGTCGGTCGTCTGTATTTTGCGTGACATATTGATTCCTCAAATGTTTTCTATTACATAAATAGATTTTTATTTCCAATTCTAGCGCGAATTTTTAGTCGCTTTAAATGAGTTTTATATGGCACATGAAATTATAAGTAGAATTCTTTCCGCAGTTCTATTGCGATTTATAAAATACTCTAATTACTGAATTTCAGAAAATCCTAGAGTTTAATTTCGCTTCACATCGGGATAATCACTTTTTACATTTATAAACGCTTGTGAAATTCAGAAATATTCAGTTAACGTCAAATCGATTTGTCTCGCAATTACGCTGCAGAGCTTCTGGCTTTCTGTCTCCGCGCTAGTGAATCGCGGATTTTTTTCCCTCAATTTTTCTCGATTTTTGTCGATCACGTGAGAAATAGCAGGAAATCAAAGCTTTGCAGGCGTAAGCTTTAAACGCGAAGCTTTTTTTTTGTGCAAAAGATACGTCAATGCTATTTGACAGAAGACGTAATATCCAGACTGAAAAGTTTACCATTATTTGTTCAATTTCTAAAACATATATGATTTTGTGTACGTACAAATGAAAAGAATATGTAAGGAAAGAAAGAGAAGCAGAATTTGTTTATATCAAATGAAATAAAAAGGATTGAACTTCCACGGAATTAATTCGGTTGCTGAAATAATGCAAGTGGATCGTGTGTAATTTAGGCGACAAATCCTCCGTCCCTTCCGCAAGGCTTCGTTTTCGGCCATAAATCCATCCGAGCATTTGCGAGATCGTGCACATCCGTCGAGTTGCATCCGCGCGAACCGTTTGATTCTCCCTCGCCGATAAATCACAGTTATTCGTGTGTGTTGGATTTGATGCGCTGTTAAGCGGTCCCGTATTTCAGGCATTAAGAGATTCAAGATTTGTGGAATACGAAGTGAAGGGATTTGCAGGGTAAAGGATTCATTCTCACGATGGAGGACGAGGCGAATTGCGAATGTACAGTTAAACACCGCCGTCTCATATCTTATTAAGCTACGGCGAATTGAAGTACACTATAGTGTCTAATTTTCTAAGCTTTATATGTCGCTGTAATTCTTAATTTCTTATAATTTATTTTATAAAGTACACTTTTTTGCAAAGAATCCCATATGAAAATTTAAACTTGCGACGAAGATGACATTTTCAAAGTTAGACGAAATTGGATTGTTGTGACGCGGTTATCGAGAAAAGCGCGAAAAAACTTTAATCGGAGACGACTTTATTTCGACCGCAAAAAGAGTCGACCCGCGTCAATCTCAATGTCGCTTTCATGAAGATTAGAGATCTCGGAATGAACGACATAAACCGTCTCGCGACGCTTTCTACTTCTATTGACGGCGAGGAGAAAAAAAAAAGAAATAAGGAACCTCGAAGGGAGCAGGATTGGTGTGATCGACGGAGTAACCGGGGAAATCTGCCCTTCTGAACGGGCAGCGAGCACTGCTTTCTCAGCCGTAATATTGGAAGTTTACGAGGTTTGCCGTAATCGAATCTCGTTATACGACCACAGAAGGCCTTTGGCAATCTGCTCAAGGGCCAGCGCGACGCCGGTGCCGCGGGAATACGAGCCTTACAAGAAGTAACGCGCGATACGGTTCGGCAACATTTTAAGCGGACGAGAATTGATGACAATTACGTCGTTCAGCGGAAAAATCGATTCGAGTGAAGAGGAAGTCTAACGTTTTCGCTACGCTCACAAAAATCTTACTATTAAAATAATGAAAAGAGCAACGTTTCTCTTTGTTTCTTAATTTTACGTCGATTAGATCGCAGTTGTTCGAGCGGCGGGAGATGCTAAAGTATTCGTGTTTTAATTATATTGCGATTATACCGTGCAAAGATACGGACGCACGACTTAAATCGAAATTGATTCCCGGCTTTGCGGGCACGCACGCCCGAGTATTTGTACCCGCAGTTAAGTTTCGAGGCAAGATAATGAGCGGAACGCATGGTGGTTGCATTTACCTTCGCCTCGTGTCGGCTAATTAGTTTATACGCGCATCGAGGAACTAATTATCCATTCAGAATAGACTTTCGTTTATGATCAATTTCCACCGTAAAGTGCATTGACCGCGTGGAACGTAACGACCGCCGGGAATATCTTGGAAATGTGTCTGCGGAAGAATTGCATTAATCCGTTGAAAAATGAGCGTATCAAAATAAATATTTGATACTCGGTATCGAGCCGTTAAAGCTTTGCCAACAATAAGTCCCTAACATTTTTAGCAATCGAATCGATCTGATAATTTTTTTTATGCATTTCAATTTGTCCTTATCTCGCAAATATATAATAATCTCGATATATCGCGAAAGATTACGTTAGAATGTATCTTATCTGTGACATGTTCACAGAAGTTTGCCACGTAGAATCTCTTATGTATACTAATCCGTTCGAAAAATCGGCAGATAAGATACGTTAAAGTGGCGATAAAGTGGTTTCTTCCGATGCGTCATACGTGGTTACGTAAACAAAAATAATTTTGCGAAGCTGAGCGGATTAAAAAGCGGGGAAATTCTAGGCGCACCGTGCAAATTTAATTAGGATCACCGAGAGTTCCATCCATTATCGTCGGCAAGGAGCTTACTTCGCCGCTTTTTCGACATGGTATTAATGAAAAATAATGCGCGCGCCACATGCGGGAATCCAACTGTCTGCTCGTATATTATGCATTATCTGGGAATCGCGAGATGAAAGTCTACGCGATACGTCGTGCATGAGTTTTAAAAGCGACAAACATGGAAATTGTGTAAAAAAAACTGACGTATGAACGCATTATTAGATAAAAGAAACCATAGTTTCGTAATTCCTAACATTTAGACACTAATTAGCGTCGAATTAAACTGCTTAGCGCGTTATTCGGCGCGGAATAATGATGTGACATTGTATGATACGGTAATCAGAGAACTACGGTGCGGAAGACTGCGCGTTTAGAGAGAATTCTAATTTTATCTTCACCACTTCATAATTTCGTTTAATTTTATGGCCTTTTATCGCGAGAGACGTATATTTTTTCTTGTGTGCTCGCTGATGTAATGAAAGTAGCGAGATAAGAGCGAGGCAGCATCGCAGAAATAACATTCTATTATTAAAGTGGATTATCTTTATGCAGTTTCGTTGCGTAGCCAGCGGCCTGAGACTTTACAGTTAGATCTGCACTTCATCGTAATGCGTAAGAGAAGTGCCGCGAACGCCAAGAAGGACATGAAGCCTTGAGAATTTCTTCACTCATTGTGATTCGCAAGAGAAATAAGGTCTCGTCCGCGCTCTTCCCGGCGCATCACAAACGGAGTTTCCCACACTGGTCGCTCGCCGCGGCCCAGTTTTGCATAACGCAAAAACGCACCTTCCGAAGGAAGGTTTTAAAATGCCTTAGGTTCTTATTCTTTTCTTTCGAATGGATTACATCGCAGCGTTAAATGCCTCAAATTGAATCATAATAGCGTGAACAATTTCTTCTCCGTTCTTTCGAAAACATCCTCGTTGAGTTCAAAGTCTGGATTAAAATTTACTTTTTAAATTCACTGTGGTTCTAATTATATTTTGTATAAAATTAAATATAGAGAGTTTCGCAATACTTATTTCTACGAGCGGAAGAAATACAAGTTACATTAAATGATGCGCTCGATTCGCTCAGCATTCGAGATATTTAATATATAATAATGAATACAGAGCGAAGTAAAATAAACGTTGCAAAGTAAAATACGTTACAATATGACAAGCTTAAAAATTTATTTTTCCATTTCTTAATGGCAGAACGTTAACATTACGAGCTCAGAAATTATTAAAAATCTATAAGAACGAAGCGAGTCGCCCATAACAATACAAGTCCTCCGAGGGCTGCCACGCTAATTGATAACGGGAGGCTCCCATTGCCATTACAGAGATCCTCACTGCAAACTGAACACTCCATATTATCAGAAACAAGATTAGAGAGAATGCCGAAACAGCCACGGAGGACAAACGAACTGCCTTCGGTATTTCCTGAAAAGATATTTCATTTATTACTATCTTGTTTGCTGTCGGCATGCGAGATATCAAAAAATGCTATATTAATTATATAAGTACAATCTACTTGGAGATAATTGATTACGCTTGCGCAGCATTTCGCAAAAAATAATTCAATAATTTATCATAACTACAATATTTACCAAAAATTTGTATGAATTAATCTTAAGAGAGACCTAATCTATTGAAAATCACGTATTTATGATTATTGACTCGAGTACTTACGGCCGTTACATGTCATGCAGGAACCCACCGAGGCCGCACAATCGCTCTTTTCATACGATTCGGGTGCATTTGCGCAAGTATTGCTTTGTTCCGAGCTGCAGGAGTAGCATCGTATTGCCTCGCCTTAGCAAAAAAAAAAAATTAGTGAAAATATTTTTGAATATATGACACTGCGTATTAAAACGAAGTTCAATAGATTTCCCGCATTCTGTTCATTAATCATGCATTGAAATAGTTTTGTCGATTGTGCGATCACCGCAATTTCGCATTTAATTCTTTATTTTATCTATTTCAATATTAATTGCACAGCAAACGGTGACTTTAAAAATTTCATTAGGCGAAAAGATGAGAGTCTAAGATTTCATTTTAGTGTAAACGCATGCAGCAAAAATTAGGCGTTACACAAATAATAAAACAGATCTTTATTTTAACTGGCAGCATTAATATTTATAAAATTGTTAGAAATTTAACAAAATTGCTGAAAGTTGATATTACATACCTGAGTGAAGAAGGGCGAGTGCGATAATCAAAATGGTGATCGTAGAGAAGCGAGCTCAGCTTTCCATATTTGATGATGCACTTCGATGTCCGTCGAGTTAAGAACTGCGACAGTATTTCGAAAGAGATCTATAGATAGATTTACAGCGAGGCTAGAGTTATCCTCGTTTTTCTTCGCAAAACTGTGCGATAAGATTACTATGTTAGTTTAGTTAGAAGGATATCGATGATATCACCTTCGCAGCACGGTTAAAACGCGAAAATTGAATTTGTCATCCGCCAATATCTCGTCACTGATAGCACAGATATTTATAGCTTTTCATTACACAGAGCAAACACGGTCTAAAAACATTTTTTAAGTTCAAATTCTACATTAAAATTCACTTGCAAAGTCACTGTGTATTTTATGATTTTTTTGGAAACTATAGCTTATAGATATTAAATTGAACGTAGTTTAATGATATCCATCTGTATAAAGAAACGGAAACCGAGTGATATATTAAATCCTTTCGGCAGTAATCAAATTATTCTGAAATAATAATAATAATAAATGCTGGGAGGAATGAAATAAAATACAAATTTGCCGCAAAAGAATGTATTAATGGAAAGGCAAGTCACAATGTTACACATTTAAGAATTAATAAGAATCTGCAAGAACGCCCATAACAGTGCGAGACCTCCTAAAGTTACCATGTTAATTGACATGCCATTAGCATTATTATTACATAAATCTTCATTACAAAAATTGCAATGGACACTTTCGAGTTCAAGCTTTTGCGTTCCAACATAACCTGTTGCATGTGTGTTGATCATTTCAACATCAGCTTGAGCGCACGAACGCGTGACGAACTCACTCTTATTAGACAATTCTAGAAAAATATTTTGTTTATTATTAACAATGTAGTTTGCTGTTACGCTTAGCAAAATGTCGGAGTACGTTGCGGACTATGCGTACTTATATAAATGCAATGCAAAATTAAATATGTTAATTACTATACTAATTAATATACTAATTACTATACTAATTAATATACTTGTATAATTTTGAACATTTTACATAATCTTAGTATCTTAGTGCCATTATAACTTTTTGTATAGCGATAATGAAAAATAATCTGAAGCAAATTTTTTGATCTTTATAATGGCGGATAAAGAGAAGAGAGAAAAAAGAGAGATTAAAGCTCTCATGTAATATTTTGATTATAATTTATACGATTGATGTTAAATGAGACCTAATGCATTAAAAGTCACGAAATATATATTTATAATCATTCACTTGTGTACTTACTAGCTGTACATGTCGCACAATGGTTTAAAGGCGTCAGACAATCCTTCTTATTTTTATCCGTGAGTTTTTCACAAGATTCGCCCACTTCCAAAGGGCAAACGTAACATTTTCTTGCTTCACCTTAAAAAGGAATAAAAAAAAATATTAATAAAAATATCTTCGCATATGCTGCGTCGTATATTGCAATAAAATTAACATTGTCTACATCCAATCTGTATTTATTACGCATTGAGGCAATTTCTTTATGCAACTGTTTCAAACATACAAGTTTAGCCATATTTTTTATTTTATCGCTTTTGATATATAAACCGCGCAGTAACGATTGTTAATCACCATACATATACTTTACGTTTTTTGAAGCAAAAATTCCACTATTCAAAAACACAAGAATTTAAGAATTAATAAAAATGTCCATAATAAATGTCCATTTTTTATATATAAATGCATGCGACAAAAATTGCGAAAATAATGGCGCAGAAATAAAAAATTGATTTTTCTAAAATTCTTATCGATGATTGTCATTAATAAAATTGCTAAAGATCAAATAAAAAGCCAAAAAATATCGCATACCTGAATGAAGAATGGCGAGAGCCACGAAAATGGCAATCATGAAGCAACTTTTCATTTCCATTCTTTTTTTTTTTTGATACGCCTTGATGCACGTCGGACCAGTAACTGTGGCAATTTTTTTTGGGAGGAACCAAGATATAGTTTATAACGTAATTCGCATAATTTTATCATATACTTTATACATTTGCGATAACGTATGTGATAAGATTATCATAGATTAGGCGGAAGGATATCGATATTATTATCTCTACAAGGCGATTGAAACATGAAAAATTATCAATAATCCACCGCTCAATGCCTTGTTAGAATTTTTGTTATATAAATTAAATATTAAAGATGCAAAATCTGAGTAATTGTTACTTCTTCAATCTGGAAACTTATTGAAAACTCTTATAAAACACGATGTTTCTATACGATGTTTCTATACAAAACATTGAAAATTTCGCACTAACAACCAGCGATGCTCGGCAAGCTTCTTCATGATATAATCATTGATATGATCTTATAAAACAATTTCTTATGAATATTATATCAGTTTCAAAATCAAAAAAATATCACTGAAATATGTTATTTATTTCTTTGAGTAACTTTTATAAATTGTTAGCAGTATAATAGATATCAACTTCAAAATATGTTAAATAATAATTTAATAAGAATTACCACAAATATATTATTTATATATTAATTTAATTTTCACCTGACGATAGTTGAGTCTTTAGACACCCACGAGTTAAATGTGAGTAACTATAAAAACAAACTCAAATAAGAAAAATGTGTCTGTGACACCGTAGATAACACAGTTAAACGAAAAATAGCTTTTTTTTAAACTCAAGAATGTGAGGTATCTCCTTTTATAGTTTTTTTAATGCTGAATACAATGCCGGTTTCAAAAATGCTCCATTACGTCACAATTTCGAAAAATGTAAGGTCAAAGTTGTAAGAAAGTTTCTTTTTTTTTACAAATAAAGTATATTACTAGAAACACATATAATAGTAAGGCTCCATATGATAACACAATCAAGAAATATAATTACTAGAACTAGAAATATATTACTAGAACTTTTAACTCTCAAAAGGAACTTTTTGGATTTATTACGGTTAACAAGATTTTGATTAAATATTGTGTTTGTTACACCGCAAGCAGATTATAAATGGAACTAACAACTGCGAATAATTCACTGAATATTTTCAATTTATGTGGAACACATAATGGTTTTCAAAATTGCTTACTACGAATGTGATGTCAAAATTGACAAATTAAAAATGGCGGATTTAACATGGTGAATATCAAAATAACAAACAATCATAATTTTTGTGAAAATTCGTATTTAAGAATTGTCGAGGTTGCTGAATACGAATCTGATATCAAATTTGACAAATTATTATTATTATTATTATTGTGATATTTACCATGTTGAATCCGCCATTTTAAATTTGTCAATTTTGACATCACATTCGTAGTCAGCAATTTTAAAAATCAAATTATGTATATTATAAATTAAAAATATTCAGTGAATTATTCGCAGTTCTTGTAATCTGCTTGCGTTGTAACAAACACAATATTTAATCGTCAAAATTTTATTAATACAAAATCTTGTAATAAATACAAAAAATTTCTTTTGAGAATTAAAAGTTCTAATAATATACTTTATTTAAGAAAAAGAACTTTTCTAACACGCCGCATATCATAGTTATAACATGGTCGAGTACATCAGAATAGCTCTTTTTTACATCTTTGACTTTGAATTTCTCGCAATCGTGACGTGATGAAGCATTTTTGAAACCGGTATTGTATTCAGCATCAAAAAGACCACAAAAGAGGACACCTCGCTTTCTTGAGTTTTTTTTCTGTTGTACTGTGTTATTCAATCAGAAAGTATTAATACACGTCAAGATTGATCTGACCATTGCCTTTCGTTTTCTGACTGTGAGAGTTAAACATGAAAAAGGACAAATTCTATTTTAATATCAAAGAAGTGGAAAATAATAAAGAGTTACTCAATTTATTTTTAAGAATTTATTTAACATAACATGAATTCTCGCGAAAAGAATTTAACAACATTTAATGTAACATGAATTCTTGCCAGATTACTTATAAAAATATAGATATCTTTTTCAATAAAATAGCATATATTATAATATTATAAGTTTAAGAATTAATTTATAAAAGTAAATGCAGTCCATGACAGCACAAGGAATCCTAAGATTGTTGTATTAATTGATACCGCAGTAGCACTATTGCATTTGTCAGTATCGCACTTTTGAAATTCGACACAGTTGTTTACTTCGGTACCATTGATCACCGAACTAGGACAGTTTTCCACGGTGTTAAGAACGCACCGACGCACGATGACAGTATTGTTTTTCAAATCTACGAAAAAAGATTTTTTGTAAATAATGATCTTGTGTACGTGTTGATATGCAAAGCGGGATATCGAAATATTATGCTACTAAAAATTCTGCTGTTTAATATGCAAGAAGGCAGCTTTTCCAACATTTCTTAAAATATTTTCTATTACATTATTAGTGCAGATTTTTATACTATATCGAACAATTAATTCAAACAAATGCTCCCACATCTATGATAGCAAATGATTGAAAGGGGAAATTCGAGTTTTTATGTAACATTTTAATAAACATGACTTATATTTGATTAGAACAATTTATAATTTGCGATAAAACTTTAAATAGCAATTTGTTTATAATTTTATATACTAGAAAATATTTAAAGAATCTAGTCACATATGTATAAATACTTATCATTAATATGTACATATTCTAAATGTTTAGATGCTACAAGTTGCCTAAAGTAAGTAATTATAAATGGACTCTTAGATAGAAAATTCATTATTTTTTTAAAGCCACAGAATATTCATCCACTTGAGTACTTACTCTGTTTCATCACGGCACAAGCCCATTCTGGTTTGTCTTCTGCAAATGATCTCAAAATGCTTCTACGCCGTCTATCGTGTACGTTTCCATCTGCAAATGTTCCGTCTAAAAAAAACATATAATAAATATTGTATATTGCATACTACAAATTACAGTACATTATATATTGCTCAGAATTTGCTTAACAAAAAGATTGAGAAGTCAAAGAGTCAAGATACATAAATTGATTAAACATTATATTAAACTTTCAATTAATTGCTCGTCTTTTCAACAATTATCAATTAAAGTTTAATCGTAGAAGAAAAGTCAGCATGTTCATCCTTTACGTTAGACCAAGTAATTTGTCAATTATAAGAAATTTCTTCTTTTAATAATAACAATTTAAAGAAGTATATAAAAATAAATATTATTAAAAATATTTTGCATATTCCAAAAATTTTCTTCTAATGTGATCAATGTTATTATACAGTTCTTTCACTGTGCAAACTGAATTGTGCTGAAACTTAATTATTTGGATGCATTTAATTTAATATTTTGACTATCATAATTATGTATGCGTGATTTTGTTCTGCTAGCAACAATCGACGGATATATCCATGATTTTACTTGCATTGTATCATCGTCCAAGCTCATAATACTAATGTTTATTCAAAAAATACTCTGATTTTGTTAAATATAATCTAAGCAAAAATTTTCAACTGTTAACCGAAAATTTATGCGTGAAATTGGCAGCTGTCAGTGTTAATTTATTTTAAAGTACTCTGTATTCTGTACGAACCTTTAATATCACTTAAGTTATTTTTGTTATCTAGTGCTAGGCCTTCGGTGCTCGATGACTGAGCGGTCGTCGTCGTCGTTGGCTCAGTGGTTGTCGTCGTTGGCTCGGCGGTCGTCGTCGTCGTTGGCTTAGTGGTTGTCGTCGTTGGCTCGGCGGTCGTCGTCGTCGTTGGCTCAGTGGTTGTCGTCGTTGGCTCGGCAGTCGTCGTCGTCGTTGGCTCAGTGGTTGTCGTCGTTGGCTCGGCGGTCGTCGTCGTCGTTGGCTCAGTGGTTGTCGTC